CAGGGAAGAGCAGAGCTGGGAAGAGAGAGACCGGAAGTCATAGAGCTGCAGAGCGCACCTCAGGAGCCCCTGAGTGGCCGCCAGTCTGTTGGGAGGAGGGGCCATTTGCTGCTGTTACCTCAAGAACTAACAATTTCTTCAGACACCCAGTAGGCGACCTGGGACTGGAACCTGGCAATGTCAGAACCCTTTGGATCCACTATTGGGAGTTGGCCATTGAGCCCTACTGAGGGACAAGGCTTTGTTCACTTTCATTATGGCGGAAAATGTGAACAAGTAGAGAAAAAAATCATACATGATTCTCAATAGGAGTTACCCAATAAAGGGTTTTAAATGTTGAAACAAATGATAGGAAACAAATGGTAAGAACTGCCTTCAGATTCAAAAAATACATTCATTCCCCTCAATACCCTTGATTTGATATTTACAGGATGTTTGTAAGTAAGTAAGATGGGAATTACCCATACTCTCATTTTTTAAAAAATATCGGCTTTACTGAGATATAATTTACACACTGGAAATTTTACCCTCTTAAAGTACCCATGTCAGAAGTTGACATACATTCACAAAGTTGTGCCGCAATCACCATGACCTAATTACAGGGCATTTCCATCTCCCCACAAAGAAATCCTATTCCTCTTAGCAGTCACTTTCTTTTCCTATCTCTCCACCACCCCTGGTATACACTTTCTGTCTCTATGGGTTTGCTTGTTCTAGATCAGTGGTGGTGAACCTATGACACGTGTGCCGCAGCTGGCCATTTTTTTAATCATTGAAAGCTCTAAAAGGTTCGCCATCACTGTTGTACGCATTTCATGTAAATAGGATCCTGCCGTGTCTCTGGCTTTTTTCACTTAGGGTGTTGTTGAGTTTTGTCTGAGTTATAGGATATATCAGTACGCCATCCCTTTTAGGACTGCCTCATGATCCATGCTAAGGGTAGGCAGTGTGTTATCTGTACATCAGTTGGGGGATAGACATGTGGGTTGTTTCCACCTTTTGGCTGTTATAATTAATGCTGCTCCAGGCATTCATGTACAAGTTCTGTGCAGATGGATGTTCTCATCCCCTGGATATATACCTGGGAGTGGAGTTGCTAGGTTATAACACTGTGCTGAACTTTTGGAGGGGCTTCTGGGTAGTTTTGCAAAGTGACTCTACCCGTTTACACTCCCACTAGGAATGGATAGAGTTTGTTTTTCTTCCCCAACCCTTATGATTGGCTGCCTTTTTCATTACAGTGCTCTTGGTGAGTGGGAAATGACCATCATTCATTTATAGGTAAAAAAACAAAGGGCACATTATTTGCCAAAAGTTTGTAGAGTCAATAAATGCCTAAGCTAGAAAAAAAAAAATTTTTTTTTGGTACCAGGAATTGAACTTGAGACCTCTCGCTTACCAGGCAGGCGCTGTGCCACTGGGCTAAATCCCCGGCCCCAAGCTAGAATATTTTTTAAGCAAACACTTGTACGCCACATACTTTTGCAAGGCATTAAGGCTTTTGCTGTAATTAAACCATTTAATCTTTACAACTGTGTATAAGGTGGGTACCACTAGTGTCAGATTCTGAGCATTTGGGATTAGGGATACGCATCTAATAAAGTCTCTGCAAATATCACCAAATCCAAAACCCTCTGAAATCTGAACCACTCCTGGTCTCAGGTATTTTGGATGAAGAACACTCAGCCAGTCTTAGCATCTTTATTTGTAAATGAATACAGGGCGAGTCCTGGGCTTGGAGTGAGGCCATGAGGCCCACAGGGTGCAACGTGTAAGGTGACATCACTCTCTGGTTCCAGTCAGCACCCGCTGGACCCTGAGAGCACCCCTGACATGGTGAGCCCAACCAAGGAGTTTCACTGGCAGCAGCCTTGTTGTGGCCCTGTTAGGAAAAACAGGGGTGCAAAGACTGAGTGCCTTACTCGGAGTTTCCGAGCAAGTGTGAGGCAGAGCAGGGATTCAGACCCAAGAGTCTTGGCTTCGAGGTCTCTGCTGTGAACCACACTACAATCCGTTGACCTCCACCTCTCTGCTCTCTGAACCATGGCTTTCCTATTGCTTTTTCAGGGCCTGACTTTTAGAAATTAGCCACAATTTTGATAAGTAGGGACTCCAAGGTAAAATTCCATAGCTGGGTTCCGGTAGACCGAGCAGAGTGAATCAACTTAATAGGCCCCTGGGCATCTGCTGTGTGCCCTCCTGGAAGGGTTAACTGGCCACACGGTCACCACTCAGCCACAGCTGTGCTTATTGTCACAACTGTATAAATCTGCCCCATCCTATGGAGGCCCCCCGCAAGAAGCCAGATAGGCCGCTCTGAAGCACCAGGATTGGCTCTGACCAGTGCTGGGAAAACAAGTATTCTCCTGCCCAAGTGGGATGGAACCTGTCACTCACTAAAGTATACTGAGTCGAGGACTCAGAAATCAAATCTCTCCTAATAAGCAACCAAGCAAGGTTGCTTATTCTTTTTAATCTGTTTTTCAGAATTAACTGGTTGTTTGCTTTTGAAGCATCACCTTGGCAACCGTGTTGCTATTTCGGTAGGTTTTAATTGGTTCTTGGATTCAGGCAGAATGTCCTAGAGGGCAATGTGAATTCACAAGTAGACATTTGTGCCTAGGGACCGGATGTTGGACAGCCTTGGGGAAGACACACGAGACTTGCGCCAGGGCCAGGTTCTCCCTTGGCTCCCCAAGAGTGAGATTAAACCCATCAGGGTGGTCATACCCACTGCTGAGGGACAGCAGAGCAGCCTGTCCTAGGCAAGCAGATGTTTTAGAGGTGTCACAAACTCAGTTTTGTGTTAATCTCATTGTTATTTCTCTCCACTACAAAAGGTACTATGGGTTGTGGAATTTTGACCTTTTTGTTTGGGATTTCAGTTCAGTTCTGTGACTGCTCCTCAGAGCTGTGAGTCTGTGGATCAGAGCATTGGCTTCATCTGGCAGCTTGTTAAAATTCAGAATGTACGCCCCACCTCAGACCTCCCATAGGTCAGAATCTACCACTTAACAAGATCCCCGGCGATTCCTGGGCGCTGTCACATTTGAGATGCGCCACTCCAGCTCCTTTCTCTTTTATCTTCGGCTGAGGTTTGCACCGAGTACAGAGCTCCAGGCTGCGTTTTTTGGTAGATGTTCAGATCTTGAAAACATCCGCACATAGAAATTCCTTCCTTTGCCTGTACATGATGTCATTCATTTTACCTTGCCCACCACAACAAAGAAAAAAGCAAATCACATTCAAGTTATATATATATTTAAACTAGCTTCTTAATTGCCTCTGTGAAAGCCCCCGTCATTAACGGAGCCCCAAGTGTTGCCAAGATTAATTGAGAAATACCTACAGGCAAAATAAACACTGCAGCCAAGAGGTTTAATTCAACACCGTATCAGCTGAGGATGGAGGTGCAATTAGTGATAAAGATGTTAATAATTAGTCCTGCAGTGTTAAATTTTACATTCAGTGGTTATACAGAGTGAGGAAAGACTTTCCTCGGGAGGGTAGAAATCAATGTTTCACCTTGATTGCTATTTTAATGTGCTTATTTTAATGAGGCCATCCTGTGGAAACCCTTGGGCGCATTTCCAATTTTACGTAAATGTAGAATTAATTATTATGGAAGCATATTAATTTTAGAGTTGGAGCAACCTTGGCGGTCATTTAACCTAGTTCAGTCATTTTGCAAATGAATGAGTCAGATGACTTAAATCCTTCCACAGAGCACGGGAACCTGGGCTTCCCAACTTTCAGAACAGAGATGGGGACACTTTGTCAGACTCCTGCATTTGGAAGGGTTTTCTCTTGCCTCAGAGTTCCCAAAGAACATTTGTGGCATTGCCTTCACCCCATGTTAGGTTCTAGTTTCTTTCAGTTGTAAGGCTGGGGTCTTGGGAACTATGTCTGAATCTTTTTTTTTTTTTTTTTAACCATTCCTAGCTCTGTACTTTGCAAACAGTAGTTGCACAATAAATTGCTCTCCGGTGCAAGTTCTGGGACTGCTCTTGACTTGTCTGGTAGAGCTATTGTGTCTTCATCTTGGCTAAAAAAACTGGCCATGGTAGGAGTTTTTATACCGTGGAAGTGAGCAAATGCCTCCCCCACCCCAGTAATCTACATGTCAAACAGTCACCGGCACATCACTATTTACTTGATTTTGATAATGATCCATACCGATGCGAAGATGACCATTTACGTACCGCTTAGCATAGGTTGCCTCCACAATGACAGAGTAGTGGTTTACTCAACCCTCTTTGATCTTTTAAGGATTCGGTCCAGTGCACCCCAGTCCTGAGGATGGCGTTAGATTTTGGCTGCTGAGCTAACTTCCATTTACTTAAAAAGCTCTTCAGACAGGAATGGTTCTGGAAAGCGGGTTCTGGATATGAGGCAGAGCTGAGTGAGAAAAACATACAATATCAGAAAAAGGTGAACGGGAAAGTTAAAGTGCCTGGAGCTACAATAGTCTCTTTCTGTTTTGTTTTGTTTTTGTTTCTTATTTTCTTCTTTTGTCTTCTTGAGTCAGGGTCTCGCTACGCAGTTCAGGCTGGCCTTGAGCTCACTATGTAGTCCAGGCTGGCCTCGAACTTGTAATGATCGTGCGCCACCACACCCGGCTTACAATAGCTTTGTATTTCTCGAAAACCTTTCAGTAGCTCCCTGTAACCCACAGAAAGACCTGGATGCCCCGGCATAGGAAGCATGCACAGAGCACAGTTTGCTGTCCTGACCTCATTTCTAACCCCACGTGCCCCCCACTGCCCCCACCATTGAGTCTCACCTCTGTTCTGTTGTCCAGCCTCTGTGAAGCCCCTGCTGCAGCCTCCATGGCGTTACCTGCTTCTGGGACACCCCCTCTCCTCCCCAGGGCCACCTCAGGCTCTCTCTCTCCCAAGCTTCTGTTCCTACCTCATCCCCTGTAGCATGGGCCAGAGTTTCTGAGTTAACATGAAAGTCTGTGTGACTCTTCGTCTCCTCTCTTGTGTGTCTGTCTCCAGGAGCAGGACACAAGGGCCCATCGGTCCCGGCAAGTATGGCTACGGCAAGGCCCCGTACATCTTACCCCTGCAGACGGACACCACACACACGCCACAGAGGCTTCGAAGACAGAGGCCCTCATCCCGGCCGTCCAGGTCCCAGGGGACATCTGCTACCAGACATGGCTACAACCTGCCAGGGCCTCTGTACCAAAGTGAAAATGGCCCTCGTTCTGGACATCAGGCCTCAGAGGCCTCCATTTACCAGCTGCCTTTGACTCAGGACCAAGGCTTCTCTGCAGCTTCCAGTCTCTTCCACAGCCCAGAAACAAGTAGCCGTGGTGTGGGGGCCCATAGGACAGACCGGAGCTTCTCGCAGCCCCTGCGATCTGCAGCTATCTCATGCATCGGGGCCTATCGGCAGTACAAGCTCTGCAACACCAACGTGAGTACACACCAGCCAGGCTGGGCCTTGAGACAGCTGTCCTGTTGCCTTTCTGTCCATTGGCCCTGAGCAGGTGGGAGACAGGGCAGAGGGACTATAAGCAGTGCAGTCATTGAGGTTTTTAAAATGTCAAAGTGTCTCCCTCTGTCTCTTTTCTCCTCATATACTTTACTTTTTTGTAAGGTTATTGCATTAGTAACTTGTGCATTGCTAGGAGAGTCACATCACTAATCACTCAATGATATTAGCCATTACTGTGCCACAGACAACTCAGAATTCTCAGTGATTGTGTATAAATCAGTGATATTTATGCTTTGCTCATGAGTCTGTGGGTCAAGTGCAGTTTGGCTGAGTTAGGACAAGGAGCCATGATGCCAGTAATGCGGGATTTAGGGAGGTACCACTCAGTTTCCTGGATGCTCCCTGCTGTTCAGACCGTAACCCACACATATTAGGTATCAAATCATGAAGGAGTGTGACAGGATTGAATCTGTTTGTTCTTGTCTTAGGGGAGAAGCTGGAATAGCTAGGGTGATAGGTGGGACTTGGAGCCTTCTAGGAAGTACTTATTTACGAACTGGTGTGGGAGGATTTCAATATTTTAAGACCTTGTACAGTGCACTGGTGTAACTGGCTGAATGCCACCTTGGATAGGAGTTCAATAAATATTTATTGATTCCATCTTCATGCATTTTAATTATATACAGTACATTTATTAAAAACTCAGGACAAGCCAGGCCTTGAACTCAGCGTTTTCTTTACTTACACTGTTTAATCTTCTCTTTAACTTGTGGCTTTTCTCCTCTCTCCATTTTTACAGTTGCAGAGTGGTTAAATAACTTGGGGAAGATTCCAAGCTAGTGAGTGGTAGGACAAATTACCAATGTAAACTCTATAACGTGACCAAATGTGTCGTCTTCAATATCAGTTTAATAACCATGTATAAAAGAGAAAGGAAGGAGAGAATATTAAGAGGTTCAATTTCCACGTTGCTCTATTTTTTCATTAATAATTTAATCTGTCTTAATACTCTGTTACCGGGCAACAGGACAGCTGTTATATATTAGATTCCATTTCCTTATTAAAAATATATTTCCTGGTAGAAAGTCCATAGAAATGACTTAATTTGTGATCTTAATAATTCCTCTGAATGTCTGGATTGTTCTTTCTTCCACTGACAGACTTCAGAAATTATTCGTATCTATAAAGCAGTAGTTTTTCTAAAGGCAGTACTAACTGGTGAAGCAAAAGTCTTTGTCGAATATCTTTGCGGATCTGGTATAATGCTAGGTGCTGTGGAAGGTGAAAGAGGAAAATGCGTTTTGTACTAAGGATCAAAAGAAGTGAAGTTGAAAAGGTGCTCTGTGAATTGAAAAGTGAGGAATGACTTGGGTACACGATCAGACATACTCCTTGTTCTTGAATACTCACTCCTATTTTGTTGAAATGAAATTAATTATAGAATACTTTTCCCCATTGACCGGTACATCGCTTTCTTGAAAAACAAGAAAACCATAAATAGAAAGGAAAACAGAGAGCACAGTTGGCCCGCATGTGCAGCAGGCATCTGCTTAGCATTTCTTCCATTTAACTTGCATTTTTAAAGCATGTGCTTTGTGTGTGTGGGCAGAGTGTTGAGACAGGGTCACACTGTGTCTCTCAGACTAGCCTTGAACTTGCTCAGTAGCCCAGGCTGGCCTTGAGCTCACAGCGAGCCTTCTGCCTCAGCCTCCCATGTGCTGGAATTACAGGTACGCACCAACACACCTGGCTCAAGTATGCGCTTTTTACTACTAGAACTTCGCTGCCCACCACAGGACAGTTCTCCCTGTGGAAAAGGGGTGGCTTTTCTGGGGTCTGGGATCTGGGGTCATGGCACCATGGAGGAAACTGACTTATAAGGAGTCTTAAGAAATACCTATGAGTTCATGATGTCCTCTGGAATTTTGAAAGCATATAAAGCAAATTCTCCAACCATTGGCAGAGAAGTAAATGTTGGCAGAGGACAATTTAGGTTAAGTTCCCTTCTTCTCACTGTGACATTTTGGACAGTGTCCCTTCTAATTGCCACGTCCTAATTGCCCTTACTGAGAGGTAGCATTGCTTAGGGGGTCCCATGATTGGACATATTCTTTTAATAATCACGCGACCTCTTGTGCCTTGAGCCACATCCCATGAATACCGTAAAACTCCCCCGTCGGGGGTTGCCCTGACCGCTTCGGGGTTTGATGATTCTGTAGAAGACTTAGTACAGTCACACTCATGGCTATGAGTTGTTACAGTGAAAAGACACGAAGGAGAATCAGCCATGAGAAAGACTTATGGGACCAAGTCCAGAGGAAACAGGTTCCCCAGAGTCCTCTACCCATGGGGCCGCCCAGGACAGGCACCGTTCCTCCAGCAGTGAGTTCCCTTTGGTCCTCTGTGTTAACTGTCCTTGAACATGCACTCTTCCTGCCTCAGCCTCTGAGTCCTTTCCCTTTGCTCAGGGATACAGGTGGATTGCTGAGCGACCCAGCATTCACCCTAGAACCAGAGTTTTAAAGTGATGAAAGTGCGACCACACAGGACTAACTGTATGCCAGTGACTTCTTCACACCCGCCACCATGTGTGTTGAAGATTAAACCCTGTTTGATGCATGTACGGTGTCCTCCTGTCTGCAGCGCAACAGATTTAATGAAGACTTAGCGCTAATGATTTCTGAATGTAGACTTCAAAGATAAGGAAAGCCTTCTTTGTTTATTTATTTATTTATTTATTTATTTATTTTGCTTACAATGTGTAAGAGGCAGCGGAAGTGACAACCCTGATAGAGACGCTGGTGTTTTTGAACCACTCTCAGTCTTAGCCCTCAGCCTGTCTTCACTGTAGGCCCGACTACGTGGTCTGGGTTCTGCAGGGGTCACTGCTGTAGGTCCACAGCACGGACACCGATTTGCGGGGGGTGGTCAGGTGTTAGAATCTGGGTCAAGGTCGCTGAGATGAGCAGAAATGGACTCTTAAAGAGGTGTGATCATAGTGTGGCTGACACACGCCATGTTGGCAGTGTTGTTTATCATTTTGGTTTTTGTGTGCTAGGAAAAAGCCCTGCTTAAGCAGGTGCTCTACTGCTGAGACCCTTTTGTGCTTTGTGAAATTCCTGGATGGTGAGTTAACCTCAGTTGGGTGGACTCAGCAAAGGATTCTGGGAGAAGTGCAGATTACCCAGGCGAGGGGAGGATTTTAGGAAGAGGAAGTGGGTGCCCTGGTGCTCAGAGACCTCTTGGCAGCGTGATCAGGTGTCTTTCCAAGAGCGAAGGCTTCACCCGAATCTGCGCTCAGCAGTGGAGGACCAGGATGGAGGGGCAGCGTGATTTATCGCAGCCCTGCACCTCCAGAGTATGGCTGAGCTAATGACTCAAGGAATCAAGTCAAGTTAGTTTTGTTTTTGCAGAAACTCACTGAAGCTCAAGACTTGGGAGCTAGGGGAAGGGGAAGCCAGACTTCAGTCCCTCTGGGGCCTGAGGGGATGCACTTTAAAAAATCCTTTTCAGTTAGCTGCTTCTGGAGTTTATAGTGGTATTCACTAAATGCATGAACTCACCAAGATACTTTATGCACTTTGTCCTGGGACCCAAGTGTCTCTCCCTGTCTCCTCCTCCAGAGTACTCTGAATTCTGCTCTTTCTTCCCTGGACAGGAGGCTGACACACCAGCCCCTTCTGGAAGGGGTGGGCTGGAGCTCATCACCTGTGCAAGGCAGAGACAAGGTTATGAGTTTTCAGGGGACTGTGCTACCCAGGGAAGCCTGATCCTGGGTTAGACAGAGTGCACTTAACGTGGTGAGGGAAAGGAGCCCTGGGGCTGAAAGAAGCTTTTAGCGAACACAGCTGTGAGATCACTGACTCCCTGGCATGTTTCCCTGGGGTGGAACTGGCTTCCAAGGATGGATTTATCCATGCGGAATTGTTTCTGCCTCGGAGTAAGTGACAATGGAGGGAAGATGTTGGCCAAGCCTCAGATGTAGCTGAGGGTGCGCTTGGCTTGCGGATTCTTAAGTCTGTGCCCTGTATAGTCTGATATTGAATGGAAGAGGTACTCACAGACAACTTCCCAGTGGCAGTTTGCAGGAGAAATTTGGAAAATAAGCCTGGTGAGAGTTCAGTGCAGTTCTGGGAGGTGTAAAGCCTGCCTGTAGATGTGGGGCTGGTTACTGCATGGACAGGTCATCCGCTTGGGGATCCACAGGAGTGCCTCATCTTACCAGCTTATTCCAGCCTCCTTGCTGGGCGTGGTGGCACACGCCTGTAATCCCAGCACTCGGGAGGCTGAGGCAGGAGGACTGTTGCAAGTTTGAGACCAGCCTGGGCTACAAAGTGAGCTCAAGACCAGCCTGAACTGCATAGTGAGACCCTGTCTCAAAAAAGACAAAAACAAACAAACAGCCTCCTTAGCCAGAGCATAAGCACTGGTGTCAGTGCTGTGACCACTAGGCTTTCCATTTTCTCAGACGGCTTGGAATTTCCACAGTAAGTTCTTCTATTGTGCTTTCATGTGTATGATACAAGTTGTGATAAAAAAACCCACAATGAATTATTAAATTCTCAAAAATGTATTACACTAAAAGACACATCGCTGTGGTTCCTCCTTAAAATACTCCTCCTTGCTTCTAACACGTTTCTCATCATTCTTGCCGCTTTCTGAAGTAGTTCTGGAAGTACTCCTTCGTGAGGGTCTTTAGTTGTTTGTCGTGGCTGCCTCAGTGTCCTGAATTGATTCAAAACGTTGACATCTCATGATCATTTTGACTTTGGGTAAAGAACCAGAAGTCACAAGGTGCCAGATCCAGTGAGTAAGGTGTATGAGGGGCCCCTTATGTTTTTGCAAGCCTGCCTTTCCATTGGATGGCAATTACCATATTTTTTATTATACCTTGTAAAGACACTCGTGAAAGAGGACTTCCAGAACTGCTGCAGAAAGTGGCAAGAAAGATGGGATGTGTGCCTTTGTGTGAAGTCTCA